GAGGACCCACCAGAGCCTTAAAAGAGTTTTGGAGCAACAACAATCGGCAGTGAAGGTGGAGTCCCCCCACATCCGTCTCGCACGGGCGTTGTATACCATCAACTTTTTAAATTGCTCCTTTGAAAATCTGAATCCGCCCATTGTGCGACACTTCGGGAAGCACGAGAAGCTGCAGCCTAGGGCCAGGCCTCCGGTCCTCATTAAAGACCCGGAGACCTGGAAAACGGAAGGGCCATTTGATCTCGTGACCTGGGGTAGGGGATACGCTTGCGTGTCCACTCCCTCAGGTCCGAGATGGATTCCATCAAAGTGGGTCAAACCCTTCCGCCCTAAGCGGGGTTCAAAACCAGAACAGGTCCCTCAAGTAGCAGAAGCGTGTTGGCGGCAGAAACGGAAGAGCTGGTGGGCAAATCACCATTAGTCCTGGTCCTGACCCACCTCCCTTACGAGCCAGACCTTTTGATTTATGTCTGTTTCTTTTCAGTTAGATCTCCCGCCTGCATGGACCCACTGGCCATCCCCACCCTCCTGATAGTCCTCCTTGTCGGGACTCCACCACCGTCAGCGAGTCCCTGGATAGTTCCCCAGCCGAAAGCTAACGTGTGGAAGACCCTCGCCCAAGCCATGGGCCAAGAGCATATCTGCCTGGACCTTGGTTCCGCCGAAGACCCAATGTCGTCTTGCCTAGTGGGGATCCCACTTCCCATTTTTGAATTTCCCCACCCCTTTAATGTTACTGTAGGTTCGTTACTTCATCGCAATCCCCCATTGATAGTAGACGCCCAAAACGCATGGAGAGACGGGCTCAGGAAGTTGACCCCCCTGCAGTCCGACCCCCCAGAGCTCCACCTGATCGGCTCCGCAAGGTCCTCTGCTTGTGTTTGGTTCCAATACATCCCCATTTCCGGTTCCTCTAAGTACTCTGACATAAAGCCATCCAGTCTTGAGTACCAAGCAGCGCGATGGTGCAACTTTACCATCCGGTTGCCTTTCGCCTCTACACTAGGCACTAAACCACTAGCGTTGCCCAGAGGGACATTTTTTATATGCGGAGACCGGGCGTGGGCTGGCATCCCCCCTCGTCTTGCCGGAGGCGTCTGTACATTTGGCAAGCTGACGCTGCTTACCCCCAACGTTACGCAAATTAAAGATTGGAAGCGTAAGAGATCGCAGCCTGAATTGGCTATTTCCAAAAGAGATCTTAGAGATTTCGACCCAGACTGCGACTCCAAAATCGAACATTGGGCCAAACCAAAGTCAGTCGCGCTCACCATTTTTTTACCGTGGGTATCGATTGCAAAGTCTCTAGGAGAATTGGGCCGCCTAGAGTGTTGGGTGGCTAAGCAAGCAAATTTCACCTCAGCTGCCTTGACTGACCTCCTCACGGACGAGGAGATAACTAGGAAAGCGACCTTACAAAATCGGGCGGCCATCGATTTCCTCCTGCTTTTACACCACCATAGCTGTGAGGAATTCGAAGGCCTGTGTTGTCTAAATTTGTCATCGAAAGTGGAAGATGCGAGAATCTCCATACAAAAAATGAAAGAACTCATCCATGATATTAAAAATGAAACATCAGACTGGCTGGGGAACCTGTTTAAAAGCTGGGGATTGTCAGGATGGACCGGATCCATAATCCAATCTGTTTTATATTTAGTTTTAGTTGTTGTCTTAGTAATTATCTCCTGCTCTCTGATGTGGGGACTTCTTAAAGGATTCTTGCTGAGCGCTTCCGTCGCCAACGTGAACCATCTAGAGCTCCCTGATGTCGAAGAAAGTCCCACCTCCAACTCAAGCTCCAGGAGCGCCAGCGAAGAGAGCATGGACTCAGAAGCGGCTCGACAGATGACAGTCGTCTAACGTTTAGAGACTTGTCCAATTCCCCGCCCTTTCCCTTTCTTTTCTTTTAATACAAAAAAGGGGGAGATGTTGTGGTTTGTGTTTGGTTTCATCCGTTCTCCCCTCATTAGTTGGATAAGTTGGTCTGGCTCGACCACCAGTTTATGTCAATCACTGTTTTCCCCTCCTTGTTATCCCATATTTGTCTCTGTATCCCCTCCCCAAGTCTTGTGCCAGTCACCGGCACCCCGCCTCCAGTTCTAGAACTTTCCAGGTTGGGTGTCGAGTGATTGGCTGAAAGGCTTGAGTCCCCCCCTCAGCCTGCCCTCATTGGTCCGCATCACCCATCAGTTTTACTGTATCAATTTCTTCGTGTTATGATTGGTTGTTTCTTGTACCCACCCCTTCCCTTTAAAACCCGGTCCCCAAAGGGGTTCGGGGCTCTCTCCTCCTGCTCTCCTCTTTCCTAGCAGAGCTGCGGCTCCGGTCTCCTCTTTCCCCGCCACCCACCCTTCTTCTCCGACCCTGGAATAAACCAAGTTCACCCCACCTAAGCAGAGTGGAGAGTCGTCTCTTCCTTCAACCCTGCAGCGCGGCTGCATTTATATCTTGGCTTCTCCACCCGACCCACGGTAGGCACCGGCCTCCGGCTTAGTGTTGGGGGAGTGCCTGGACGACTGAGGCTGTGGCTAGACTTGCTTATCCTCAGCCGGGCTCCTCTCAAAGACAGCCACAGCAGCACTGGAAGGAATAGATGATGACAACATTTCTACAGAAAAGCAAAAAAAAAGAATAATTGAAGCATTTCAAGAAGTGCCCAGACTGAAATTTGTTTGCCGATATGATGACCCCAAAGTCTCTGTGGTGTGTCAGGGAGCTCAGGAATAAACCTGCAAGGCTTGGATAAACATCACTGGTGTCCATCCCCCAGAGCACAAGCAGCTCCCCAACAAGACTTCAAGACTAAGGGACAAAGCTTCCCCCTTCAGCTCTCCACAGCAGCTCTAGGGAGTCTCTCTCCACTGCAAGATCTCCTTTGTCAGTCTGCAGTGACAAGAGTTGGCTGCAGGAGGCATTTGCATTGGAGCTCTCCCCAGATGGGGGAAAGAAAAAGAGGTGATTCCTGAGGAAAAAAAAAAGGCAATGCTGTTTGGGAAGACACCAGCGTGGGTTCACTACAACTCTAGGCCAGAAATCCCTGGAAGAAAGCAACATCCATCCATGGGGCAGCACTTTGGCTTTGATATCAATGCTGACAAAATTGCTGCCCCTTCCTGCTAATGTAGCTGACTCCAAATCACGAGAAATGTGCCACCTCTGCGAAAGACAGGCAGACATGCTGAGATAACACCAGCTAGTGTGCTGAAAAGGAGTCCAAATGAATGTTTTCTAACCCCCCCTTTTCATCCTTTCTGCAGCCAAGCCAGAGCAATGTCCTTCCTCTCTGTCCCCGATGGTTACCCAGGCACGGGACGCAGCGTGGGGACAGAGCCTGTCACTGCTCCCAGTGCTCTGCCCTGCCCATCCCTGCTTGCCTTGCCCTTCCCTGTCCTGCTGGAACTTTCTGTGCCGTGCCATGCTGTGCTGAGCCCAGCCAGCGGTCACGCATTTTGGGAATGTCCCTCCCCTGTGCCACCCGCCGGTGTAATGAACATACCACTTTCAAACTTTGACTAGTTAGAGAGTCTTTGTCCGTGATTTTCAGTTTTACCAATTGAGGGAGCTTTTGTTTTCCCTGACAGAAGTACAGTTGCTGCCAAGGGAAACATACCTAAAGACCAATAGTGACCCAGCCTTCCCTTTGCTTCCCTTTTCCTTCCCTCACTGCTACACAGCGCTCTCATACCAGGACCTCAGTGCTGCCTCACCTGAGGATTCAGAGCTGCCTCCAGACCCTTCCAGGCTAAGTGCAGGTGCTCAGGACTCTGAGGTTTTCCTAGCTTCTTGGGAGGAGGTGTTTGCTTCCTCTGGACTTCTTGGGGTTTCATCGGAGAAGCCAGGCACAGGCAAATTTCATCTCCACTGTGAGCTCTTCATTCTGCTGATTCCCATGAAGCTTAAATGCAGCCTGAGCTCATCATTCCTACTGGTTCCCATAGACCATCACAATCCTTCCATGGTCTCTCCAGAGAGGAGCAGCTGCACATCTTCAGAGTAGCAGTTGCCAGCCCGCAGCCCATCAGGGAGGGAAAGAGCTTCTACCCTTGCTTTCCAAGCAGGTCCTAGTTAATGACCCTTTAAAGTGTTTTCCTGCAGTGCTCTATCATGGGTAGATCTCAAGTGAGAATCAGGTAGAAAGTGTCAAGTTGCCTAGGAAGGGGGACCTTGAAAGGAGAAAGATTCTCTGCCTGCTTTTCCTGTCCTTGCTGCAGATTTGGAGGATGTTTTGGGTGTTTTATTTCCAGACAGGCTCTGTGAAGGGATAGAAGGGCAAGGTGAAAGATATTGCCTAACAAGTGGTCAGTGTTAGGTGCACTCTCCTCTTTCTTTGAATGAAGCCAAACTAGGACTCTGATAGAATATGGCAGATGTTTAAGACTGCCTGCCCTGCAAATCAAGGCGTGCCATTGAAATGAGCTCTGTGTGCCCCACAACAGCTGCAGTTGCAGAATATGGCCTCACCCTCAAGGTTGTTTTTAGAAAAAACTCACAGTACAAATTTAGCACGCATGTCTGCAGGTCTTGGCTGTTCCTGCATGAATCCATTTTCTGTGGTCTTTTGTGATGAGAAACCAAATGTAGCCAAATCCCAAAGGTGCTGGGAAAATGGAAAAGGCTGTGATTATAAGGTGTTTCTGTGTGTGTGTGTGTGTCTATATCAGATTTAAAATCCATGCTTTAATCTATGTACATGTCAATTAGGATAAATATTTTTAAGAGGAAGAACTGACTCCTCCAATCCCCTGGGAAGTCTGAATGCATTTCTGGAACAGAGGTTGCTGTGTGCTTCCTGTGATGTTTGATGCAAGGCAGCACCAGAGCTCTGTGTCCCAAAGACACATCATGGAGCCTGACCAATGTGTTTGCACTCCTGCAGCCAGGCCAGGCCAGGCACTTCAGCCTCCAGCACTCCAGCTGGCAGTGCAGGTTCTGCAGCATGGACAGCCCCCAGCTGTGGATATACTCCTGGGGAAAAGGAATTGCCACCCCTGGATCTGGACATGGTGCTTGAGATGCTGGAGGAGATGTTTTCTCCCTCTGCTGAGGTAACTGCATTGGGCAGGGAAGAAAGGGGCTGGACTGAGAGCTTGTGAATGTTGTTGCATGGCTGAGAAGGAAAAGCTTCTTGAGTTCAGCTGTGAATGGACAGGGAAGGCTTTGCTTGGTAAAGCAAGACTTCCTAAAGAGGAGGGAATGAAAATGTCATCCCTGAGTAAGGATGAAAAGGTGTGAGCCTGTGTTGGCCAAGTTTGGGTGCTTGTTTTCCTGGGAAGAATCCCTGGTGCAGGGGCATTTGTGGTGAGGAAGTGGAAGCTTTGTAGGTTCTAAGAGGCTTTGTTTGATGGGAAAGAAGAGAAGAGTGTTTGGAGAAGTGGCACTGAAGGCCAAGTGTCCCGTGCAGGGAGGGGCATGCCAGAGGTGCCTCTGTTGCAGCAGCAGATGTGGGCTGTGCCTCTTTTGGGTGGGAAGGCCAAGGCAAAGCAAGGGCTGGGCTGCAGCTGCTGCTGCTGCTGTGTGAGCCCTGCCGTGCGTGTAGGCGCTCCCAGAGCCGTGGCTGGGGCTGGCCTGGAGCTGCAGCTTTCTTGGCCTCTCAGGAAGCTGCTGCCTGCAGTCCAGTTTCCATCTGGGAAATCCTCAGCTGGGCAAACTGGCCAGTCTTGCTGCCCATGTTGCAGAGCTCAGTCCCCTTGCTCTTGGGCATCTCTGTGGGAAGAGATGTGTGTTCCCATGCTGTCCCTGCCAAGCTGCAGCCTGGATGAGACTGCTGTGCTCAGGGCTGTGGAGGGAGGAGCACATCCCTGTGCCAGGAGCTGGCAGGACTCCTTCCTTAGCAGCCATTCCACGTGTTCAGTGTCACCCCCATGTTCAACCCTGTCAGCTTTGACAGCTTTTGGACTGTGTTTGAGAAGTCAAATCTTTTTGACTGTTGAAGGCCTTTGGGGCCCGGAGTTCTTGTTAGGAACAAGGGATTAAGTGTGTGAGCCATTGGACCAGGTGTTTTGTGTAAGTGGTGAGAAGGGTTTCTTCCTTTCTCTTTCTCTTTCAAGGGGAATATTAATGTTGGCCCTGAGTCTTCAGGAGGAGAGCCTGTGGACAGAGCTGCAGCAGAGGGGGCTTTGCCTGGCACCGAGAGCTGCAGAACAATTCCCAGGAGCCCGAGGAGCTTGGTAAGGACAGAGCCCCCATTGGTTTAGAGAGCTGTGAGATGGCTGCTCTGAGCCTGCCTCTGGCAGGAAGGGAGATGAGAAGAGTTGAGTTCCTATCTGCAGGCTTGGTGCTTCCTGGTGCCTTGAGTTCAAATCCTGCACGGGCACAACCTGCCTGAGCCCTGCCCTCCACGCTTCTCCAGAGGCCCTGACACTGAGTCCTCTGCTGTGGCAAGAGAGCAGGGAATAAACCTGACCTTGTGGCACTTGTGTCACCAAGCCGGGTGTCCCAGTTTTGTGCTGATGTCCATGGAGAAGTTTGCTGCAGGGTGTCAGTGCTCTGGAGGCAACACTGAGTGACTCTTGAAGCAAGAGAGGAAAAGCCCAGCAAAAAGTCAGTGTAGAAGGCTGAGCTTTTTGTCTCCAAGCATTAAATCAATGTAGTACCACAGTCTGCTGATAGCTGTAGTGAGATACATTAAAAATACAAGCAGCAGAAGCTCTGAGGCCAAGGAAATCATCAGTCACAAATCCAGCAGCTCAAGGAAAAACTGAAATTACCCCTTTAAATTAGCGAGAACTAAAGGAGAGAGAGAGCACTTTGGATCTGCATTCTTGAGCAAAGCTGGTGCAGCCTGCAGGCCTGGTAGGGAGCTCTTTCCCTCTGGGATGACCCAGAGCTGCTGGTTGTTTTGGAGGAGCTGTTGCTCACTGCAGAGGGCAGGCTGTAGATGGCAGGGAACGGTGCTAGTTCATAACTCAGCTCCCAGCACCTTCAGCTTCAGCCATTTCAGTGAGGACTGAGGTCTCTGTCAGCACAGAGAAAGAATCAGGCTGGGCTTCTTTGTGGCAGCTGGCACTGTCTGTGTTTCAAGCTCTTGTGGGGGGCCTTTGCACTGTGAGAGCTTTCAATGTATTGGGGATACTTCAAAACTTTAAAACTTTACTTGGAAGGAGTCTGGCTCTTTGAAGAGCAGGCTTTAAACTGCCAAGTGAGAGTCTGCCTTTCTGGCCATCTTTTACAGACTTTGATAGAAGGACAGTTACCTCCCAAGGGAAAGATGCTCAGAGGCCAATATTGACCCAGTGTTCCCTTTGCTTCCCAGATTTCCACCTGATCTGCCTTGCCAGGAGGGCTGTCCTGCGTGGGAAGAAGGATTAGAGGGGGAGCCTGTGACCATCAGGTAGGTGGAATCCCTTCGTGTATACATAGATTTATAGATTTTACAATTCTATTTCTATATCCATATAGTTAAATTTATAGATTTATAGAGGTGTGTTTATATGTGCATATATATACATCTATACAGTTAAAAAGATCTGTATTGTTATAGATGGGATAGAATTAGTTACATTTCTAGATTTTGAGATTTACATTTGTATATTTATAGAGTTACATTTAGACACCTACATTTAGACCCTTACATTTAGATGTTTACATTTAGATGCTTAGATATAGATTTAGAAATGTGTGTAGTTATTTAGTTAGAGGCATGTGGAATTTTAGATGCATAGATTGAGCTGTGTAGGCCTGGGGTGCATTTTTAGCTCTTTCCCCCCTCGGCTGCCTTTTTCACCTCTTGCTTTTCCCCCGGTGCCCCCTGTGTCCCCTGTCCCTGTGCTGGGTCCCAGCTGGCGGCCGGGCCGGGCAGAGCAGCACTTCCAGCCCTGGCTGTCCCTGGAGCAGTGGGAGCTGCTGCTGGCCCCAGGCACTGTCCCCTGAGGAGCTGCAGAAGGACGGTGAGACAGAGGGGGCTGAGGGGGCTGAGGGGGCGGTGGCGCCGAAGGGACGGTGACCCTGAGCTGCTGCTGGGGCTGAGGGCTGTGGGGCAGCCGAGGGCCATGGTGGCACTGAGGAGACAGGGAAGTGGCACAGGCTGAGGGGCTGGCGGGTCTCAGGGGACGGGATGGCTCAGAAGGGACTGAGGGGGGTGAGAGGGACTGTGAGGGGCTGAAGAAACTGAAGGGGGCTGGGGCTTCAGCGAGAGCATGGCGGGGCTGAGGGGATGGAGGGGGCCAGCAGGGAGCACAGAGGGCTCCGGGACTGCAGCTGTGCCAGGCCTTGGAAGCAATTCCAGAGCATCCACTTTGGCCACAGCTGCAAGGAAGACCTTGAGGACAGCTGGAGACTGACGGGAGCCAGCAGGGAGGAGCTGAAGGCCGGCAGCAAGAGCAGTGAACGGGGACCTGCTGCTGCCAGCCTGGAGAGAGCCCGGCTGAGGCCACAGGCCCGGGGAGGCAGGCTGGGGCTGAGGCTGGCGTGGGCTGTGGCCGTGGGCACTGCCCGGCGGGGCAGGAGCGGACCCTGCCCGTGCTGGGGCTGCTCAGCGCAGCTGCCCCGGCTGGCACAGGGGCTGTCCTTGGGCCAGGCAGCTGTGCCGGCAGGGCCCGGGAGCTGTGCCGGCTCTGCCGGGCTGCCGGGGCTGCGGGACAGTCCCGCCGCGGCTGCGCTCACCACAGCCTGGCCCGCTCGGCTGCTTTCTCTTTCTGACCCTCCTGGGGAGGCTCTGACATTTCCTCTTCCCTGATGGAAGTGCAGCTGCTGCCAAGGGAAACGTGCCCATACTCACTCAGTGTTCCCTTTGCTTGCCAGATGTCCCATCTGCTGTCGCTGTCCAGGAGAGCTGCTCTGCACGGGAGGAGGAGACCGAGGGAGAGGCTTTGAAGATGGGGCAGCTGGGATCCCTCTGCTTGGAGGTCTTTGGACTTGCACACAGGCAGTGATAATTACATCAATCTGTACATATCTTGCTATTTGTATTGGTATATTTCTATACATATGATACTTACTATATTTCTAGAAATACAATACTTATTATATTTATACATGTACTATGTATATATGTACAAATACTTACATACACGTTTGCAGTTACATATTTGTGTGTAGGTGTATCTAGCTTCTTATGTATGTTGTAATATCTGTGTTTAGATTTCCATATGTATACAGTTGTGTAGGTATCTAATTGTATTGATGGAGTTTTTGGTATATGTCTTTTTAAAGAGGGATATTGCTATTTGTGTTGGTATATATGTCTATTTTTATATTTATATATGTAATTATATTTACATATATATTGAGATGTACAGCTGTATATTTGTATTGATGCATTTGTATGGATATTTAGCTTGGCACATTTTTTTTGTATTTATAGATAGGTTTGTCTTATATATCTGTTTATATACATGTTGTATGTTATCTATAATATTTAATCTATATTTGCATCTGTATCTAGGGAGTTGTTGTAGAGGTTGGCTATAAGTTTGGTTTTTTTTAACTGAAGTTGTATTTTTATATTTTTAACTAGACTGGCTGTAATAATCTAATGAATTCCTGGTTTTAACCTAAGCTGAGATTTGTATTGTTCTGTACTGTCAATGTGGGTGTAGCTATTTGTAATAAATGACATTTTTCAACTGAAATTGATTCTCGTGTATTTGTTGATCAGCAGTGCGGCTGTGGCAATCTGCAAGAAATGCCATTTGTCAGCTGCGATGGGTGTTCTGTGATTTGTGCTCCCCAAAGCCATGAGCAGATGTAAATGCTGGAGGATTTTGGCCATGCAAATGTCCAGCCATGCCCAGCACATGCCCCACCTGCACTCAGGCTGGGCAAGGGAAGCGCAGATTTGGGCTGGCAGCAGAGCCCCCCGTTGGCTCAGAACTCGCTGCAGAGGCCTGCTGAGAAAACTCCCGGACTCCACTGAGCACAGCATCCAAGCAGGAGCCACCCGGGGAGGACAAATCCGCCCCCCATCCCATGGGCAGCTCTTTAGGAAGCGCTCCAAGTGTCCCTCTGGAGCTCATCCCTGACCAAAAGCCAGCAGGCATCCTGAGCCGGCTCCGCTGCCTTTGGCAGCACTTTGGCAAATGAGCTGCAGCAAGGGGGAGGCAGCAGT